TCACTCGAAAATTTTCAATTAAATGTAAAAAACCAGAAACAAGTAAATCTATTCTCTCTTTTGACTGTTTTATTGATTAAAATGGATGCCTGAGCTGCGGCCACTGAACCATGAAAAGCAATCTGTCTTGGATGGGTAAGAGATCGTTAGGAAATCGTTGTGCTGAGGCAAGAATAACTGTGCATGTACACACACGTGTGGGGCTGGGCACAGATACCCACATGCTTCCATGGAAAAAGCCACCTGCAACGAAAATTGTGTCTATATATTTCACTATCGAGCTCAAAGCAAGCTGAGGTGTTAGCCTGTCACAAGACCTCTCGTTTTTCTAAGTTTCATCATTTCCCTCAGCAGCCAAACCTCGTCTCTCTTGCTGAGGAACACAAAAAAATACACGAGGTGGGAGAAGAAAAACCTCAAGGTCTGTCATGTGTTACAAGCTCCAAGAGCAAGGAAACCACTCCTTGGGTCATTAGGAGATTTTCAGGATGATGTCAAGGAGATCCTTCAGTTGATGTTTCAGCTTCCTTTCTGTCCCTGTCCTTCCAGGGCAAAGTGGAGGATGTTAAACGAGTTCTAGACATCACCAGGAACACCCAGTTCTACAAAGCCTGGCTGGATTGGGTGTGAGTTAACCTAAGGCAAGGCAAAGGAGGGAAAAAACTTCCCAGATGAAGATTTTGCCATGAGCCCTCGCAGATTCCCAGCCTGCAGCGGAGCTATCTAATATCGGCTCCTAACAGCCACGGGAACAGATGGAGAACACTTCTCTCTGCACTGACAATACTCTGCTTTTGAAGCAAGACTATCCTGATATCAACTCTGTTTTATCTCAGCACCTCAAGTTGAAGCTTAAATTAACCAAACATTGTTTTTGGTTTTTTCTGTTGTAGCCCATCATGCAAGCCTCGATCTGCTAATTCTCAGCCTTAGCCAGAAAATTCTCTTATTTGCTTAAGCCAGTCCAGAGCCTGCTCATCCCTAGGAATCAAAATCACCCAAGGGAACAGCCCTAAGAGAGTTCAGGCTTGGAAGCTTTGCTGCAAAGCACAGCTCTGAAATCCTCAGCTGATGCTCATCCTCGCAAACAGGAGCAGCAGGAAACTCCTTTCCAAAATCCACTTCCTAGCAGGTTTTTGAAGCCTGGGAATGAGGCCACAGCAGCTTTGTCCCACCAACACAGGTCCAGCAGAGGTCTGTCCTCATGTCAGCAATGGAAAGATCAACAGCAGCCACTCCCCTGTCCAGGAGATCTGGGAGAGGCAGGGATGTGCTCAGCATTGACTGAGCCAGGCTGGAAGGCTGGGAATGCTCAGCAGAGCAGCATCACTAATGAGTTTAGCCCTGAAAGAAGCTGTCATTCAGGAAGGAGGGGAGAGCCACCTCCCCACACACTCAGCACTGCTATTTGCTAATGGGATGAACGAGGCACAACAGCAGATTCTGGCTGACTCACGCAGTTTGTACTTTTATTGGGTGCCTTTTTCCATCCCCCCCTCTAAAGTGCAAACAACGCACAGGAGCAGCGCTGAATGAGAGTAGATCTTTGGGAATGGTGCTCCAAATCATTCCTATTCTATTATTTGGGTGTGAGAACTCTCAGACCATGACTTCATCTTGTGCTGCAGGCAAAGGTCAGCAAGGGGTGCTCACAGACACTGGGCAGCTGCCAGGCGCTTTGGAAAGAGAATAATAATAATAATAGTAATAACAGTAATAGTAATAATAGTAATAGTAATAGTAATAGTAATAATAATAATAATAATAATAGCTTTAATTAAAAAAAATTGTAAGAGAATAAACTTTTAAATCTTCAAACTGGACCAGCCTAGAAAAGCCCTGCCAGTTTTGAGAGGGCAGTAAAATCTCTAGTGCCATCACCACACCACAAAGCATCACACTAAAATAGCAGCAAACACAAACTGGAGGGGGTCTGGAGCCCCACACATGTGCAAGACCACACAGATGTACCAAGAGGAGGCACTGAACGGGTTAGCAGCTCTCAGATCTTTTAATATATTTTCCCTAATTAAGCTGTTCAATTCGGCAGCTTAAAGAGCTGCCGATAGCTGCTACAAATTGATTTATCTTTTGATGAAGGTAAAATTTGCTGGAAAAAAATGAGAAGCAAACAACATATGGGTTTGGGAGGGATTAAATTACTTTGTCTTGTGTTAAGATTCAAACATATTCTGGAGGCAGGATGAATCTTTTACAAGTAAATTGTTTTTATACTATATATCCTTTTCTTTGTAAACAGAAGGATCCTCATTTACACATCCACCTACAATACCTGCGAGGTAACAGAAGCTGATCCTTAAAAGCCAGATGAGATCCAAGCTTTCCGTGGGCACAAAAACACAAATAAAAAGCAATCATCCTGCAACCCCCCACCTAGGGTGGGGGAGAAAAAAACCTCCTGGGAATACAATAATCCTTAACAGATATAGCCTAAAGCAGTCTCCACATGGAGGATCATGACCAGCTTGGGACATCAGGGCTCCAAAACTGCACTGAAATTCCCAATCCATCCCTGCCTGTGAGCTGCAGTCCCCTTGGACAACACAAGCTTAGAGTTTAACACCACCACTTCGTTATTCTCATGATGCTTTACTCATCAGAAGGAAAGATAAGGTGAAGAGGGATAAATATTAAGAGTAAATCACAACCAGGCTGACAAGACCAAGCAACAGTAGCAGCCAGAGCAGGGTAATTTGCCTGATCTCAAATGAGGAGTTTCCCTGGTGGATGGGATGTTACAACCTCAGGAATGAACAGGAAACCAAACACACTGAGCTCTGATATCCCCTCAAACACAGATCCTTCTTTCCTCAGCAATGCTGTGCCCATCTCCCCTCTGCAGCAGCAGCAAGGAAATTCCTCTGTGTGCTCCCTCACTCCAACCCAGCTGCAGAGTCTCTCCAGATCTGTGTCTCCAAAAAATGAGTTAGAGTTCAGCAGGAGGGATGCAGCAACACCCATGGGGGGGTTGCATTTATTAACTGTTGCCCCCCACATCCCCTTTATCAGCTGTTTTGGACACACACATTTCCTACACAAGCACATGCCAGACAACTGAGAGTGGATAATTTGCCCAGACAGGCAGTAAATACATCCCATCTCATGCTTCCTCTGAGAATAATGTGCTTGCCAGTGACACCTGTCATGTAAATCATCACCTTGCAATTTATCCTGAGCTACATTTCAACTGCTTCTGGACCAAAAAAAGAAAAAAAAAAAAAAAAAGAAAAAGAAATCCTCAGAAAGTCCAGTAACTCTTTCTGTGAAACATGGATGCTTCTTCCCTGGACAATATTCTGAATTTATTGAGGAAAAGACATCTACTGAATTTATGGCTTCCCAGCTGAATTTCCAACTCTTAAATTTAAAGGAGTCCTAGACTTTCTCTGAGCTGTACAGAAGACATTTACATAAGTTTTTGTGCAACATTCCTTCAGCCTCTCTCACCATATGAGTAGCCATCAGCTACCCACTGTTACTGCAACTCAACAATTTTGAGGTGGATTTGAAAAATTCCATGAGTTGCATGAGAAATGACACACCTGTGATTTTTTTCCCCGCCCATGGCATTTTTTATTTAAATATTCCCTCAAAACCAGAGTCGTGGAAAGAATTGAGGTTGATGGCGCTGCCTGGGCTGCCACCTTTCAAGGGGAAAAGAGAAATTATATTTTCTTTCCAGAAGCAAGTACAGAAAAGTTCCCATGGGAGCTTTCCACTAGAAAAAAAATTTAAAAATCCAAGATATGTTCCCCAGAAATCCATTTTAAAAGGTGCCATGGGAGGTTCTCTAGCAGAAAGTGTCCCTGCAGAGGTTTGGAACAAGATGGCCTCCAAGGTCCCTTCCAAACCAAACCATTTCATGATTCTCTGAATTTATTCCCAGCAGAAATTCCTCCAGCCAGCTGGGCTTGTTGAAAAGGTTGGATCTGAAGAGGTCTTTAGGAAGCTTAAGCTGGCTGGGGGTGCACAGTCCTGGAGGACCCCTTTAATCTGCGTCCTCTGGCTGCAGAGAGAAAAAGCCCCGTGCACATCTGTGTCTTCTCAATTTTGTGTTCAAAACACTTGAGAATCTCTCTTTTGTTCCTTGCCTGTCTCCCTTAATCCTTGCCTCAGTCATTATTCAATATTTGGTTTTGTGACTACATTATTTAACTTGGCGGAGCGTTTTGGGACGTAGTTTGCATAAAAGCCGCTATTTTTAAGCAGCGGAGGGGACCGTCACTGAGGCAGGGAGGAGACAGCAGTGACAGCAAAGAGGAGACCAAAGCTTCACCCATCAGGAAAAAAAAAAGCTCTCTCTGGGAAAAGGCAGTCACAGGATCGTCATTCCAGGGAATAAATCACCAAAGCCAACTCCGGTGTCAGTAATTTTGTGACGCAGAAAATTGATTCGTACGTTACAATCAAGGAGCGCCCTCCTCCATAATGTATGCTCGGCATTTTAACATAATTATTTGTGCAACAGTTTTAATGTTTGCAGCCTTCCCTGGCTGTCAACCTGGAGGTAGTGGGGAAAAAAAATAAAATTTTAAAATACTCTTCTTCTTCAGAGACAGGATTAAAGGGGAAAAAAAAAAAAAATCAATCTCCGAGCAACCTCCTTTGTATTTTGTTGTGACAAGCTTGAATTTAAACAGCCTGTGAAGTCAAAACAACGGGAGAAATATCAATACACATTAATTTAATCAAGAAACACAACTCTGCCATGCCAAGCCCAACTTGGCTTTATTTCCTCTGAGGTTTCCATGGGAGCTGATGACACCCTGACACCTGCCCAGCCCCCCTGGCAACTGGGGGTCTTCTCAAAGGCCCTCTCTCCATTTGGATGCTTTGCCACGCAGAAATCAAAATTCCTGGTGCTGCAGCTCCCCGCTAGCACATCTCCATCTCTCCACCCCTAAAAAGCTGATTTTGCTGGCAGAGCCGCCCCGAGTGGCCGTCCTGCTGCATCCTTATTGTGTGCTGGGGAGCTTTCAAAGGACAGGCAGATAAAAGGGTAAACATGATAACAAAAACTATCTCCAGCACACTTGACTCTGTCAAATCCTGAGCACAGCGCGACTCTTTGAAACAAGAATCTCATTAAGGAAGGGAGAGTTGAAAGGATAAGCCCCCGCATACCAAAGGCAGAAATCAGATGTGCTTGACCTTTCAAATGAATGTACATTTTCTGAGTGACTGTTCATGTCAGAGTAATTCAAACAGACACCTGATAATCCTCTTAAAAGACTGAAATTTGGATACTGGATTGAGCACAATGCAGTGGGATCTGCGGGTGGTCTCGTTGCTGTGCTCTGTCCTGCCCTTGCTCCCAATTTCCTGATGCACCCTCAAGTCTTGTCCCCTCCCTGGGCTTTCATGTCCCCACACACTCATAGGAGATATTTTAAGTCCAGGATTCATTAACAAGGAAGCATCTTCTGTGCTGGCACAGCTGGAAATGAAAAGCCGATGTTCCTTAACACAAATTAGGTGATTAAACACTTTGGATGGAAAAGAGGTGCCCCAACAGCAAGGGAAGAGGGGGATTTTCTTCCAGACTGTCTCCATATACAAATCCAAGGACCATGAACCCCACCTGGATCCTTAACTCATGTACTGGGGCTTGCTGAGAAAGAAAAACCCTCAACTGAGGCATGAGTATTCACAGAAAGTCCAGCAGCTTCACAGGGAAACCTTCACACGGTGAAAGGCTGCAGATGGAAATGTTCACTAAGCCAAGAATGTATTAATTACACCCCAAAGGCTGTTAATGAACACAGAGAGTGACTGAAAGGTTTCCTCATGGACAATGTTGCTGGAGAGGTCACCAGAATGAGGTCCAGGAGTCCGCTTGAGTCACCTTCCCTTCAGTTTTTGGATGCCCTGGTCAGATCTAGTGACCGTCCTTGAACTTCAGTTCCGTTTACCACCAACGATTTCTGGGCCTTGCTTACCACATCCACTTGTTCAGCACAACAAATTCTGTCAAACCTTAGAGATCACTGCTCCTAGGGAGTCAATAACCCAACAGACACTGGAGAAAAAGGGGGTTTTAGTGTCTATTTATGGCCTGTGTCTATGAGCAACCCCACAGAGTGACTGACCATGCAGTGACTAACACCAGAATTCTTTTGATAACCCCAAAAATCAGTAGCATAGCATTTCCAGTGGAATCCTGTGGTGTTTTATGACCTGTAAGGTGTTTCATGACCAGTCTCCTGCTGATGTCACAGCAACATCAGCCCCAGCCGTGGCAGCACACACAGGCTGCTGGCTCCTGCGTACAGATGTCCGTGCTGGACAGGTACCTCATGGCTTTGTACCCTCAGGTGTCCTCCCCTTCCTCCTCCCCCAGGGTCATGTTAATTAGCTAATATTTGTTTAGATCCTTCCTGACACTGCCTTTTGATTCCCTCTGCAGTTCCGGCTCCTGGAGGAGCATATCCATTGCTGGAGGGATGGAGGATGCAGCTCCAGCCAGGGGGAAGGGTGGGACTGGGGGGCTGCTCTGCTTCCAAGTCAGCCCCCAAACACACAGGACAGGCTGTAAAGAAATCTCTTGGAAAAGTCAGATGTGAGGGTGTCAACCAGCTCATTTCACAGGAGATGGACTGGAGCACACTGCCCATGCAGTGACACTCCAGGGAACTGCCTCTCTCTGTCCCACTCCTTCTGATTCCAGGAAACAAAGCTCATTTTGTGGTGTCCCAAACAAAGCTCCAAAGAACCACAAATTCAAGCTCCAAACCAGCAGCAGGCTCCCTGAGCAGGCTGAGCCCTGCTGTTTCCAAGCCCCTGTCACCACAACACCTGGGCTCCATCCCTGACAGGATTCCTGTTTCTCCAGTGGCTCTCTGAAGGCCATGCAAGGAAAGCTCTGCAGACCTTCAGGTAAAGACACAGTGGTTGTTACCAGGAGAAACCAACATCTCTCCTCATGTAGGGACTCATCCCTCTGTCCTACACGAGGCTCTCACATCCCATCCCCAAGCCCCAAAGCAGGACCCTGCTGGATGTGCCAGCAGCCACGTCCCTGCTCACTCCCAGGCGTGTTTTTCACCCCTCCTCTCCACACTTCCTAACAGCTCATGAATTTTATAAACTAAACTCATTGTAACCAAACCATGAAATTGCAAATTTAACTCTGTCAACAAACAAAGCTTTGGCAGGCAGCTGCCGCTGTCTGAGCCTTTCCAGCAGGGAGGGAATCTCCTCCGAGGGACACTGCACCCCTTGCAGTCCCCCTTGGCCGGGGGGCAGTGGCACTGACAGGGTTGTGCAGGATGAGGGAACATCGCAGCCTACAATGTCACAGCTCACTCCCAGAGCAGTGCCAGCCATTCCCATTACCCGTCCCCGTCGTGGCCATTCCCAGCACGGAAAAGCCCCAGGAGCCCAGGGCAAAGCCCGGCCTGCTCAGCCACAAAGGCTCTGCCGCAGCCCCCAGGCCCAGCCAAGGCCCGCTCCCTCCTCCCCTCTCCTGGCAGCCTTGCACGCCGTGTCCACGGCCAGGGTGGCCGGCATAGCCTCGTTAAGTTAATGGAGTGCTAATTAGCTGGCAGAGCGAGGGGAGGGATCGGAGGCACTGCCTCATTTGCTCGGTGGAATTGGGCCATTAAAGGAAGGGTGGCTTGCAGAGGCCGCCGCTGCCTGAGGGATGCTGCGGGATCTCCTCAGGGCCAGCCGGGGCTGCGCCAAGCTCCCACCGCTGTGGAGCGGAGAATGTGGCCACTGCTGGGGACAACGGAGTGCCACCAAGGCTGGGACCTTCTCCCATCGCCTGCAGTGTCTCCAGCGCTGGCTGCTGGAGCCCTTCCAGCATAGTCACCCAAGCCAAGCCTTCTTTCCCTCCTCCCACAACTTCCAGTGACCAAAGGCACTCGGCCCAGGGGGGAAAAGTGCAGCACATCCTGCCACCATGCCAGTGCCACCTCATTCCAAACAAGCACGGTGCCACAGGGTGTTTCTATGGTAACAAGCAGCCGATACAGCCGGCGGCACCGAGATTCCAGCTCCGTTCTGCTGACACCCCATGCAAGGTCCCGCTGGGTCCAGGCAGGACCCCCAGAATGGAGCCCAGCCTTTGAGAGGCTTCAAAACCAACTTTGCGCTCCTTTCCCAGGGTGGTCACAGCACCATGAGCCACTCGGGTGTCCCGCACGTGGGAAGGACACGACATTCCTTCCATAGATGTCACCATCAGCTGGCCCTGGCACTGGCAGCCCAGCAAACCCCGAGCCTGGAGAGCAGCAGCAGAGCTGGGGTCATCAGTCACAGAGCTGTGCTATAGGCAGCCTTAAATCCCAGGTCTACCTTCCCATCGATCTCTTCAGCTCCGTGAAATTAAGAAAAACGCAAGACAAACACAAGCGAACGTCCCCGAGCAGGCTCTGTGAGAGGCAACCAAACAGCTCCAATTCCCCCAGCTAGGCTGGGGCAGTGCCTGGCTGGGAAAAACAAAACCCAATTCCAGCCAGAATGCCAATCTCAGCTTAAACATCCCCCCTGGAGCCTCAAGAAGAGGACCTGCAGCAGTGTCGGCACCCACGAGCACCTCCAGGGCTTTTGGGGGATGCAGCAGGAGAGGGGCTGCAAATCCCTTTGCCATTGAGTAAATCTGTCATCAAATGTGGCAAGAAATGACAAGGAACACCTGGAAGATTTCCTTCCTTCTACAAAAATCACTTCCCAGAGTAGATGTGGACTTTAAGGATTAAATGTGCCTGAACAACTCAACACAACATTATTAATGTCTGTTTTCAACAAGCGTCTCCATTCCACCCATCTTTTCTCTCTCTCTTTTTTTTAACCATCACTTTAAAGTCTTTCCTGTCTAACCAAGTATTGTGGGAAGAAAAAAAAAAACTTGTTTAAAAAAATAAAATAAGAAAAAGTAATTTAAAAGCTTTAAATCCAGTTCTCTGGTCTCCGACCCCCTGAAGATTCCCGTACAGAAAATAAAGTGCTTAGCTGCCCTCCTTAAAAAGATTTAATCTCCCATATTTTAGAGCTTGTATGATTAAACTCTACCTCTAATTCCGCTTTCAGAGCCACAGCCAAATCTCTGCTTAAAGGGAAGCGGTGCAGGCGCCTCTCCTCCCCTCTCCCTTTCACACAGGGGAGCCGAGCTGCATCCACACGGATGTGGGGGAAGAGCTGCAGGTAGAGAGGCAGCTCCAAGCATCCCTGCACCCCCTGCTTCCTCGTCAGATGTGGAAATACCTTTTTTTTATAGGCATCTTTCAAAAAAATTGAGCTTCCTTATACGCAGCTCTGAAGGAATAGAGGGGAGGCAGTGTGGATGTGCAGGGCCAGCTCACACTCCCAAATATCATCAGTTCTATTCCATCCCTGGTGGTAAGGAGGGAAAAAGCCTCATATGAGTGAGGAGAGACAAACTTCAGCTGGCAGTTAGGGCAGGACAGAGCCCAAAAACCTGGTATGAGAACACCCCAACAAGGTTTGTCTCCAAGATGAGATGCTTCTTATGGCAGCAGAGAATTTCATGGGAGCAGGGGCCACGCTGGAAACTGTATCCTGGTGAATTCCTGACAGGCTAATCACTCATTTACCCCCAGAACCATTGACCAGTTCTACCAAACAAGAGAATGCCAACCTGCCTTGCCCTAGGCACCTTCATCCCAGGTCAGCAGGAGACAGAGCATCAGCAAGAGAGCTGCAAAATAAAAACCTCACTTTTGCCTCAGACAAACACAGGCCCTGTCCCTGCCCTCTTTGCTTTATGATTTGCACAGAGTTTGTTAAAAACCTGCACTAATAAGGCAGAATGTTTATTGGAAGTGCAGGAGAAATCAGCTTTTCTGAGATACAGCACAGCGACCTTCACTGGCTGAAATGTGGAGGGAGCTCGAGGCCAGCTCTCCAACACACCCAGCAAGCAGCAAACACGGCCCAGGGCAAGATGGAGACAAATCTCCAAGGAGCAGAGCACTGCAAAAGCCAAGATGATGATTATTGACACAGGAATGTTGTAGCTCCCACCAGCACCAGGAGACTTGGACAGGGGCTTGATGGAAAAATATCCCCTGACACTTCTGCTGAGGAACTTTTGCTGAAATTCCATGGGCAAACGATACCAAATCAAGTTTCACACCTTCCCCATCCCCTTGTTCAACAGAGACTTTTATGCTGCCAAAACCTATTTATTTCTTGCAAATCTCTCTGAGCTACTGCTCATGAATAGAAATGCTTTTATCAAAAAACTGTTCACATTTTCCACTGAAAATTTTGAAACAAGTGTTTTCAGGGGGAGGCAGGTTGCCTTCTGTGAGAAAACCACATATAATGCCCCTTTGGAATATTTTTACTTCAAAAACAAATAAAAAAAAAAAAGGCTTTTAGGTATGTCAGCCTATGAGATGGGAATAAAAAGCCGTTACTGCTGCTTCTGGGCTTGGTTTCAAAGAGCCTGGCCTCAGACATCCCCTTTGGAGCAGCCACCTCTCCAGGGTGTGTGCCCAAGGACCCCCATCACCCACCCCAGCCTGGGCTGTGCTGGTGCTGCAGAGGACTCACTTTTGAGCCAGAAAACACCAGAGGGAGGAGCGAGTGTGTCCAGGAGCACACAAAGCTGGTCCCTGAGCAGCCCCAGGTCGTTTATCTTGATTTCTCTTTGCAATGCTGGTGAAGGCTGGAAAACATCAGCTGCATTTGCTGGGCTTGAATTCAGCATGAGGCAAAAACCACGAGAGCTGCGAGGGTCAGCCCAGGGGCTGCAGGAACCAGGATCCTGCCAGGAAAGGGATCTCCAGTGCCATCCCCCCAAAGACATCGCTGTCATGAGTGTCCCAAACAGCACTGAGGGGTTTGGGGCTGAATCTCAGCCCCAGCAGTGCCTGATCCCTGAAGCTGCAGTAATTATCAGGGCAAACCACAGACATTTGCATGAGCATCTGAGATTTTGTGCATCCATCAGCATTGGATGGTCCATTATTGTCATCTCCTGGGGTAAAACACCACCCCAGAACCCAAGGCAATCCCACTGTCCTTTCTGAAAGCCTTAATGTACAGTCCCTTTGGAAATTGCTGCATCTGATGTATTTGGATTGCTCTGAGAAAGAAAATAAACCCTGTAGCTCCCTAATGCCAATCACCGCATCGTCTCCTCAGCCCTGCGAAACATTTCCATGCAGAAGAGAAAAACCATCTCCTGTCCCTCTCACCACAGATCCAAAGGGCAACGGTGTGTGTGGATAAATGAACAGGTAGATGTACTTTCATTAAAATCACCACATTTAAATTACTCACAGACGAGATTGAAGACATGAGGTTAAAAACTTAATTGACTAAATCAGCTGAGACGCCAAGGGCTGATTATATCATTTAAAATAAATGTAATATTGGCCATCAGAAAAACACAGCACAATATTATTATATATCAAAAGCCATTATTCAAGAAGCACAAACAATATCCTCCTAAAGCCCCGGCGGATTTAAGAACATCACCCTCCCTGCTTTTTTGATTGTTTTTCTTCTTCCACAAACTGGATTGGGAGAGAAAAACAGACACCTTCCTGTGAGTCCCTGAAATCCAGCATCACAATAAAAATCTCCCTGGCTGCTTTTTCATCAAGGACTGCACCTTTGATTTAAGGCTAAAGGTGGGCAGGCACAGCCACCTTGCCCAACCTTGCATGGAATTTGGGATATGCTCTCAGGATATCCAGGTTTAATCTTGGAAAATCCAAGTGGCTGAAAGCCATCTCTTCTCACCATTAATTGTCTTCTTCAGAACACTTTGGGTTATCCAGGCTCCATCCACTTCCAACTCCACACTTGGGCTTTGTTCCTGCAAGCCATCAGCAGCTCCAGTGTTGGAGCTGGTGGCTGCCACCAGATTTGTCCCCAAGCCACGGGACAGGAGCACTGTCCTCAGCCCCTTGGGGACAACTCACCCAGACATGTGGTGTTCACTCTCCCCTTGCTCCACCATCCACACAGAGGTAAAACATTCACACTCTTAATAAGATCTGAAAAAGCCAGAAGCCCTTCAGCAGACAAGGACTTTCCATGGAAATCCAGATCAGTTTCCAAATGACGTCCTAGCCTGGACTGGGAGCTTGTTCCAGCCTGGGTGTTATCAATTATGGATGGCTCTGGTGGCCCTCAGGCCGGGCTGTGGCGTCACAAGGAGATGTTTGCTCCATGCCTGCAATCCTTGTTTCCCTCCTGCTCCCCATGGACAGGCAGGGGGAAGGACCCAAGCCAAGGCAAAGCAGCATCACTAAACCCCCAGAGCCCAGGCCTGGGGAGGTGGATAACCTCACCAGCCTCAATATAACCCAAACCACACAAATCAGCCCCTGGGCTCTCCATTGCTCCAATTACATTCTAATTACAAGCAGTGCCATCAAGGGTTTCTCAGACTCCGTGTCTGTTCTTAGAAGCTCCTGTAAGGCAGGAAAAGCACATTAATATGCATGTGCCATGCCCACGGAGGAGACCACGGCTTCCCAGCACCGCCAGCCTGGCTGGGAAGCAGCCTGGCAAAGAGCAGGGTTCCCTGGCTGCTGGCTTTGCCAGGGTGGCACACAGCAGTGCCATCCCTCGTCACCTTCCTGCAGCCCTGCGGGCCCAGGCGTGTGTTCCAGTCAGCCATTCCCCTCATTTCCTCCAGACCCGAGGGATCTTCCATGAAACTGGGCACCTAGCAGGGTGCCAGCTCAGCACCCTGCTGCCAGGAGAGCCCAGGGACCCGCAGCATGGAGGGAAGGGTGACAGGCAGCAGAGATGTGTCACAGCAGGGCTCATCCTAAATCCAAACCACCGGGGACTAGGAAGAAAATTAACTCTACTCTGCCGAAAGCAGGACAGCAGGGAAACTCCTCATCTGGGCTAAACTAAGCAAGAGCACAGTGCCCCCTTTGCTGGATCCCATCAGGATCCTTGACCCAGGGATCAGGTGAGGATCTGGATGTGGTGCGGGATCCCTGGCACAGTCTCTGGATGTCCCCACACTGCCATCCCTGCGGCTTTTAGGGCATGAAGCACGTACCGTGTCCCACGGAGCGTTCCCTGCAGGGGGGCTGCATTACAAAGCCATTTAGTGAAAATAAAAAGCCTGGAGCCCCAAGCAAATGCAGGGTAATTGCAGGGTTTTCAGGCGTGAGGCTCTCCGAGTCCGCACACAGTGCTGTGATCAGCCAGGCTCTGGGGGCCCTCTCCAAAACCCACCCCGTGAGCTGCCTAAAACACCTCCCAAACACACACACACGGCTTCTCAAATCCTCCCTGCTCCTCTCCTGCTCTGGAGGAGGGAGCTGGTGGCAGGAGCTGGTGGCAGGAGGCAGCGGGAGGGCTGGGATGCTGCACATCTGGGCAGCTGCAGAACTCGGGATCGCTCCTCTCGCAGGCACAGGGGTAAAACGGGCAGAGAGCACCATCCCAGCCAGGGTGCTGCTCCCCTGCCTGCTCCCCTCGGCCTCGCAGGGGATTTAAGCTGCTGGATGCTCTACAAAGCAGCCGGGAGCCAGTGCGGGCAGCAGAGGTGTTAAAATTCCCGTCACGGCCCGCGAGGAGACATCCCCAGCATCCCGCTGCAGAGCGAGCTAATCCTGCCAGGTTAATTCTCATCCTCAGTTCATTCCAGTTTATTAAAGCCAGCAGGCACCCTGCAGAGGATTCATTACCTGTGTCACTCGAAGGCAAGGCTGGGCCTTAATGAGCTGAGAAATGGGGGAGCGGTGCTGGGCAGGGTCCATGGTGGTTGTGGGGATGCCCG